TGGCGCTGCTCTTCGGCCTAGCGCAGCCCACACACATCTAGCGCACAAGTGCCACGGCACTTTCACACTCTCATGTGAAGTGAGCATCTGCCAAATGGGAGGCTGGCCAGTCCTTTATAGTGCTGGACTGGTCTGGCGTGCCCTGCATTCAACCTCAAGTGTCTGGGACTGCTGCCCAGTACCCGTTGTTGCGAAGTGTGTGTCCCAGTATCTTTCCCATGGTCTGCTGCCGCTTTGGCCCATCGGGCCTGTCTTTTGGACTCCTGGTCTGAATCAGGACCGACTCGTCGGATTATGACTGGACTGGGACTGTAGCCTTTGACTTATAGTCGAACAGACATGACTTTTCATCGAGGAGACATGACTGTTATGATCCTGGTCATTTCCGAAGTGCAAATTCACAATGAAAGACAATGCCACTCAATTGCGAAAGAAATGAAAGCACTTGCAAAGAGATAGAGACCACAGGAGAGGGAAAGAAGAAGAAGAAGAAGAAGAAGAAGAAGAAGAAGAAGAAGAAGAAGATATGCACCAGCAAGACCAATGACAATTCCCCCTTCTCTCTCCATGTGGCATACTGCGTAGCCACACGGGCCCTGCAGGGCCCGTCCCGGACTTTCAGCCTAAAAGCCTAAAAGTTAGGGCTTACAGGCCCCGGTCGTTTCAGCCTGAAAGCTGAAATACGAGGGCCTGCAGGCCCTATTCCGTTTCAGCCTATTTCTGGGCCTTTCAAGCCCAGAGTTTTTCCAGCCTGAAACGGAGGGCCTTTTTCAGACCCTCATTCTTTCGACCGCCCCTAAGACTCAGGCACGAATACAGGGTTTCGGAACAGGCCAGAAATAGCCTGTTCCTCACGAGCTTGAGCAGGAGCTGCAGCGGCAGCCCCTGCCTCCGATCGGCATTGGCAAGAGCAGSCTCCTGGACTGCTCGCMCGAGTCAGGAGGCACACCCGGTAGTACATAGGAAGTTCCCATGCACTTCACGGGTAGGTAGTTGGACAGTAGTCAGGTAGTAGTCTTCAGGATTGCGGAGCAGCACTCGGAGGAGCGCTACCCAGGGCAGCTTAGCGCTAGTGTAGTCTTCAGCGCTGGGCGCTATAGTAGTAGTAGTAGTGATCTAGGAGAGAGATGACTGGCGGAGGCCAGTGATACTTACCTGTGGCGCCATCGCTCCAGCTCCATCTTCGAGGTACCTGCACAAAGGCACCAGCTTCACAGGTTAGTACTGGACTGAGAAAGAGAGAGAGAGAGAGTTCTTCTTCTTGCTCTTCTAAGTCCACCATCTCTTCTTCCCCTCTCGCTGCCTACTTCTCAGTATTTGTGGACTACGAGAGAGAGATATGACCTGAGACTTGACGACATTGGATACAGACTCGACATTTGGGATTCAGACATTTTGACGAGGGACTATTTGGACCTGTGCCAAAGACTTGGTGTTGACGACATTCCCATCCCCTCCTCTTCGTCTAACCCCCCTCTTCTTCGTCTGTGTATGTGTGGGGCTGGCACAGTCTTCCTGTGTGAAGCGCCAGACCCCTTTCACACGCTAGGATGTTCGGGGCTGCATTGCAACATTGATTGATCGGATCATTGGTATCTAAGTCTTCCGTTTGCGCCATATTGTAGTTTGCATTGAGAGGTCGGTTCTTGTTCTGGTCTGCACGTTACGGTATGCAACAGTTTGGTATCGGAGCGGACCTCTCATTCAGAGGACCCGCTCAATCAAGTAGCAAGCTTGCTTGATCTATTGATCTCATTAGTAAATCAAGTAGGACTTCGTCAAATCTCTGATTTTTTTTTATTTTTATTTTTTCTATTGCAACAACTATCTGAAAAGTTGTGATATTTGCATTTCGTTTTACCTGGAAATTTCTGATATTAGTAGTTCGTTTTTACGTAACAAATATCTGAAATTTCTGATAAATCGCATTTCGTTTTGTCTGAAAATTCCCGATAGTTGCATTTCGTTTCTCTGATATTTCGCATACATAGCTGAAATTTCTGAAGTTAGTATTTTTTTCTCTAGGCATATTGGGATAACGATAGAAGTGGTCAGGAATTATTCCTTTCTGAAAATCGAATTTCCATTCTATCTCGCAATTTTTTTTTGAAAACTGAAATCTTGCGAAGCCTACCAATATTGCGTTAGGCATATTCAGAGGTTGCTATATTCTCAGAAACTGGATTTCGTTCTTTTGTGAAAATCACATCTTTACTCCATTTCGCAATTTTTTTTTTCAAAATCGCAGTTTGTAAAGCCGAAACTTTGCGGAATCTAGCCTAGATCTCTTTCATAAATCCCCTTTGACTAATCCTACCCTACATAGAATAATAGACAAAAAAAAAAAAAAAAAAAAAAAAGGAAGTAGTCCTCTTTTATTTTTTTATTTTATTTTTATCTGTTGATTACGGTCGGACGAAAGTACTGTTGGGTTGTTTGCCTACCTACGTTTTCCCTCCCACCCACCCCTTTGCATGCATCTCCAGGTTGGTACAGTGCCACGTCAGCAACAGTGCCACGACAGCAGTGCCACGTCACACAGTGCCACGTCAGCAGTGCCACGTCACACAGTGCCACGTCAGCAGTGCCACGTGAGCAGTGCCACGTCAGCAGTGCCACATCAGCAGTGCCACGTCAGCAGCGCCACGACAGCGAGAGTGCCATGTCAGCAAAACCACGTCAACAATAACAGTGCCACGGTTGCAGTGCCACGTAGGCAACAATGCCATGTCAGCCGTGTCCCGCCACCATGACGGGCGGAGCTCTTGGCATGCCAGGCCAACCGGCCAACGCGTCTCTGGCCGAGTACAAACAGCGGTTCCAGACTCAGATCGCTCTGATCGAGGCTGAGGAACAGCGCCAGCTGGCAGCCGAGGCTGCCCGCGTACAGGCTGAAAAAGCGGCAATTGCAGAGAAGCTGCCGCTACAGGCCGAGGCTGACGCAGCTACGCAGGCTCGCCGCAAGGAAGCCCAGGATTTGCTGCAGCGGCATGAAACAGCCAGCATTGAGAGACTCAAGTTCTAGCATTTTGAACCGAACGGCGACGAGGCAACACCGGAAGAGCAGCATAAGGAGTTCATGGCCAAGCTCGTGACCAGGTTGGTTTACACTTGTAACCACCTACAGTCCGAGCTGGCGAACCTCCAGCGGGCCGTGCGGAACCATAAGACTCAGCATGAGGATGCCACACGGACATTGGACGCCCGTGTACAGGACTTGGAACAAGTTCCACCAAGACCAGATGCTGGGGCTTCCAGCAGTGCACCCTCTAGCCGCCAACTGGAGGAACGCGTTGACCACGTAGTGGCAATGCTCGGCGACATCAGCACCTTTGCTGCGCCGACCACCATCAGCAGTCAACTGCATACCTTGAAGACCGAAGTGCAGCAATTGCAGTCGACGAACACGGATGGCAATCCTAAGTTATACAAGATGCCAACTTTCCAACTTGACAAGTTCGACGACTACACGCAGCAGGATCCGGTCCTCTGGTGGGAGGCATTCACGACGCAACTTCGGATTCTGCCTGTCGCTAAGCATGCGTACATCGGCGCCTTGTTTATGAACTCAAAGGGCGGATGCCAGACCTGGTTGACCCACCTAGCAACCTCCCACGGCGTCGACGTACCAGACTTGAAGGACAAGATCACATGGGAGGAATTGACACGGCTGTGGAAGAAACGGTTCATCGTCGACGCGCCGGCACTCGCCATCAACCGTCTTTTCACCATGTCACAGGGCAACACCGCAACACGAGACTGGCTCACGGAATAGCAGAAGATTGTGGCAGTGCCCAATCTGGACTTGCCATTCATGCATCTGCGCCGTAAGTTCTACAACAGGTCATGTGCTGTATTGAGTCAGGATCTTGGTGATCGCGATCAATACACCACCTTCGCTGAGATCATTGATAAGGCAAGGGAGATCATCAAGACCAACAGGTCAGCTCCACACGAGAAGTCAACGTGGCAGCCAACCTATGTGGAGAAGGTGAGAACTGGTCCGCGACAGCAGCAGTTCGCTGCAGTCCAGTCGGACAACACTGTGGAAGACCCGGCAGCCACCCAAGTGTCACGTGAGGGAGATCAGGTGGTTGCTGTCCAGCCGCGAAGCAACAACAAGTCCCGCAACAATGGGAAGGCGAAATCCGCATCGCAGGCCGGAAATGGACAGCCAGTACAAGTTCCATGGGTCAAGTTTAACTTGACCGAGGCGGAGTACAAGTTCCGCGGCCGCAACGGCTGCTGCTATTGGTGCAACAGCACCAAGTTCAAGACCTCCCTGTGCCAGGATCAGGGCAAGGAGGATGTGCGACCCCGCCTCAACTCGGGAAACTGAGTTTCGCGGAAGGTGAGGCGACTCCACCTTCTACTCCGCCAGATTCGGCCGCCTTGCTAGCGGCCTCCTGCACATCTGGGGAGGATGCGAATGTCGTAAGTTCTCATTATACTTACGAGGACTATGCTGTCCACTTGGTTCCACCGCTGGACCAACCGCTCCACGTGCAACAATCCACCGCATGCATGGTTTCATCACCATCGACAACCAATTCGTCAGCTTCGCCGCAATCTATCGTCGGGGATTCGACGTCATGGTCAAGACTTGAAGAGCTCGACCCATTGACGTTCACGGACTTCCAATGGATGCCCGTTCCCTCGACCGGACGATTGCCGAAACCGCATTGCAACGTGCTCATGGCACAATTGCGGGATTACTTGCACACTGCAGTACCATCTCCGTTGATGGACGTCGGAGCAGAAGTTGTCGACCTTCACGCCTACATCGCGAAGATCGACCGCGAGTTCAAGACGCAACGGTACGATGACATCGACGCACCATTGCTATACGTACGCATTCAGATCGGAGAGGCGACCTGCAGCGCTTTGATCGATTGGAGAGCATCTCGCAACTACATCTGCCAGGACTTCATGATGCGTGCCGGCCTTGGCCCACGCGTCCGGAGGAAGTCCCAGCCTACGCAAGTCACATTGGCGGACGGTTAGACGCACAAGTCAATCGACCGGTGCATCGACAGCGTCCCAATGTACTTTGCCCCTCACGCAAGTGAGGCGGTGTCCTTTGACATCCTGGACATCAAATTCGACATGATCTTGGGCATGTCATGGTTGCGAAGCAAGGATCACCCGGTGAACTTCTCCAACTGCACCATTCACGTTCGTGATCGGAACGGAGTATTAGTTCCATGCACGTTGACTCTTCCTCATCCGTCGATCAGCTGCCACGTGGTATCCGCCGCAAGCAGTCGAGCTTCCATCATCAGAGACGACATCGAGGAGATGGGGGTGTGTTTTCTCCACGCCCTCCCGCCCCGAGACGCTTCATCGATGGACTCATCTTCGGATCCACGCATCACCGAGCTTCTCGACGCCTACAGCGACGTGTTCGAAGGCCCGCACGGAGTAGTACCGGATCGGCCCATCCGCCACGAGATCATCCTCGAGGACGGGGCCGTACCTCCGCGCGGTTGCATCTACCGAATGAGCGAGGAAGAGTTAAGTGTGCTCCGCGCACAACTCGACGACCTTCTAGAGAAAGGCTGGATTCGGCCTAGCTCATCGCCATACGGTGCCCCTGTTCTCTTCCTCCGGAAGAAGAACAAGGATCTGCGGTTGTGCATCGATTATCGCAAGCTCAACGCGCAGACAATTAGGAACGTCGGCCCACTCCCACGCATCGACGACCTTCTTGAGCGATTGGGCGGCGCCAAGTTTTTCTCCAAGCTGGACCTCAAGTCGGGATATCACCAACTCGAGATTCGCAAGGAGGACCGTTACAAGAGCGCGTTTAAGACGCGATATGGGCATTTCGAATGGCTGGTTATGCCATTTGGCCTTACGAATACCCTGGCCACTTTCCAAGCGGCTATGACAACGGAGTTCCGACACATGCTGGATCGATACGTACTTATCTACCTCGACGACATCCTGGTGTACAGCCGGAGTTTGGACGAGCATGTGGAACACCTCCGCACCATTTTGGAGCGGATACGACAAGCCAAGTACAAAGCCAACCACGACAAGTGCGAATTCGCGCGGCAGGAGCTGGAGTATTTGGGACACTATGTGACGCTGCAAGGCATCCGTCCGCTTGCGGACAAGATCGAGGCCCTACGAGTATGGCCCGAGCCCACCAACACCACGGACGTTCATTCATTCATGGGATTGGCGGGCTACTATTAGCGATTCATCACTGGATACTCCAGGATTGTTGCACCTATGACGAGGTTACAGTCGCCAAAGGTGCCATTCGTATTCGATGACGACGATCGCTGGTCATTCCAAGCACTTAAGACGGCTATGCTCATGGCACCCGTCCTTAGCATCTATGACCCCACCTTGCCGACGAGAGTGACTACGGACGCTTCYGGCTAYGGCATTGGGGCRGTCTTGGAACAGCACRACGGCGACRACTGGCACCCTGTGGAGTATTTCAGCCACAAAGTGCCTCCCATCAACTCGCTTGATGATGCAAGGAAGAAGGAGCTACTCGCGTTCGTCATGGCTCTCAAGCGATGGCGGCACTTCCTCCTTGGGCGTCGTAGGTTCACATGGGTTACGGACAATAATCCATTGACCTACTACAAGACGCAGGATACGGTGAGCAGCACGATCGGACGATGGATGAACTTCATCGACCAATTTGACTTCACACTGAAACATCTTCCCGACCTCTCAAATCACGCAGCAGATGCACTCTCGCGAAGACCTCATCTTTGCGCTATGACACATCATGCCTTCGCATTCGACGAGGAGCTTCAGCGACACTTCATCCAGGCATACCAGTCTGATCCGGACTTTGCCACGCTATATGCACAACTATCTTCGGATCACCCACCAGCCAGCCATTACCTCATTGCCGATGGGTACTTGCTCCTCCACTCGAGAGGCAAGGATTTACTGTGTGTCCCACGCGACCGTCGTCTTCGGACTCGCCTCCTCGGCGAGTATCATGATTCGCGACTCGCCGGCCATTTCGGAGTCAACCGCATGATTGCACGGCTTCGACAGCGATTCCGATGGCCTGACCTTATTACCGATGCCACTCGGTATTGCGACTCATGCGAAGTTTGCCAACGTAGCAAACCCGCAACTGCAATCCCTATGGCGAGTTACACCCGATGCCTATTCCACGGGAACCTGGTCTCTCCATTGCTATGGACGTCACCGGTCCGTTTCCTCGCGATGGGCTCGGGCACGACGGCATCCTCACGGTTGTGGACCGATTGAGTAAGTACGCGCGTTTTCTCCCTTGCAAGTACTACTCCACGGCTCCCGAGCTGGCACGCCTCTTGCACACTGGTTGGATTTGTGGCCACGGTGTACCAGAAGACATAGTCAGCGACTGCGACACTCGTTTCATGTCAGCATTTTGGACTGCGCTCATGCAGGAGTCCGGCACGACGATGAAACCAAGTTCGGCTCGGCATTTACAGACAGACGGGCAGATGGAGCGGGCACATCAAACCGCTCAAATGATGCTTCGTATGCTCATCTGTCCCGACCAGAAAGATTGGGTTGACCGCCTCCCCGACATCGAGTTCGCCTACAATACTTCGGTGCACCCGGCGATCGGCGTGACTCCATTCGAGTTGCACCCCGGTGGACGGAAAGGCCGTATCTTCGCCGACCTTCTCCTCCCTCGACCAGCCGACATTGACGCCGCTTGCTCCCCCGCTTCCATTCGGAAGTACAGGGAATTGCTGACTCAAGCCCGCACAAACATGCAAGAGGCTCAAGTCCGCATGCAGCAGCAAGCCAACAGGCGTCGCGTGCCATGTCCCATCCGCGCAGTGATCTGGTTTTGGTCTCCGCGGAAGAGTTTGCACTGGAACAGGATGTTTCACGCAAACTGCTTCCCAAGTGGTTTGGACCATGGCCCGTAACATCAGCCGCGGGCGATGAGCCCGATGGCCCTTCATTTGTGATCAACATTCCAGAGCATCTGACGGTCCATCCGGTCTTCCACGCCTCGAAGCTGGCAACATACACGCCAGCCAAGAGCGTTGACTTTCTGGGCCAACGATCGCAGGACCCTCCATCTATGGATCGTCATCAGGAAGTTGACCGCGTCATCACCGATCGCAAGTACGGCAACAGCAAGCCAACAGGCGTCGCGTGCCATGTCCCATCCGCGCGGTGATCTGGTTTGGGTCTCCGCGGAAGAGTTTGCACTGGAACAGAATGTTTCATGCAAACTGCTTCCCAAGTGGTTTGGAACTTTGGACCATGGTCTGTGACAACAGCCGCGGGCGATGAGCCCGATGGTCCTTCATTTGTGATCAACATTCCAGAGCATCTGACGGTACATCCGGTCTTCCACGCCTCGAAGCTGGCAACATACACGCCAGCCAAGAGCGACGACTTTCYGGGCCGRCGATCGCAGGACCCTCCATCTATGGATGGTCATCAGGAAGTTGACCGCGTCATCACCGATCGCAAGTACGGCACCAAGCCGCGGCAGTACAAAGTCACATTCAAAGCATGCGATCGCGACGACACTCGGTGGATTTCAGGCGCAGATTTGAAAGCATCCGCACCGCTGTTCTACGCACATTATGAAAAGCGGAGGTTAGCTAAGGAAGCTTCACGACCTGCCCCTCCCACCCGGGCTGTGGTCCCTCCCTTAGACAGACTGCTTCGCCCTCGCAGGTAAGCTCGGTCTTTCAAGGAGGGGGGGGTGTGGCATACTGCGTAGCCACACGGGCCCTGCAGGGCCCGTCCCGAACTTTCAACCTAAAAGCCTAAAAGTTAGGGCTTACAGGCCCAGTCGTTTCAGCCTGGAAGCTGAAATATGAGGGCCTGCAGGCCCTATTCCGTTTCAGCCTATTTCTGGGCCTGAGTTTTTCCAGCCTAAAACAAAGGGCCTTTTTCAGGCCCTCATTGTTTCGACCGCCCCTAAGACTCAGGCACGAATACAGGGTTTCGGAACAGGCCAGAAATAGCCTGTTCCTCACGAGCTTGAGCAGGAGCTGCAGCGGCAGCCCCTGCCTCCGATCGGCATTGGCAAGATCAGCCTCCTGGACTGCTCGCAGGAGTCAGGAGGCACACCCGGTAGTACATAGGAAGTTCCCATGCACTTCACGGGTAGGTAGTTGGACAGTAGTCAGGTGGTAGTCTTCAGGATTGCGGAGCAGCACTCGGAGGAGCGCTGCCCAGGGCAGCTTAGCGCTAGTGTAGTCTTCAGCGTTGGGCGCTATAGTAGTAGTAGTAGTGATCTAGGAGAGAGATGACTGGCGGAGGCCAGTGATACTTACCTGTGCCGCCATCGCTCCAGCTCCATCTTCGAGGTACCTGCACAAAAGCGCCAGCTTCACAGGTTAGTACTGGACTGAGAGAGAGAGAGAGAGTTCTTCTTCTTCCTCTTCTAAGTCCACCATCTCTTCTTCCCCTCTCGCTGCCTACTTCTCAGTATCTGTGGACTACGAGAGAGAGATATGACCTGAGACTTGACGACATCGGATACAGACTCGACATTTGGGATTCAAACATTTTGACGAGGGACTATTTGGGCCTGTGCCGAAGACTTGGTGTTGACGACATTCCCATCTTTCCCTCCTCTTCGTCTAACCCCCCTCTTCTTCGTCTGTGTTTGTGTGGGGCTGGCGCAGGCTTCCTGTGTGAAGCGCCAGACCCCTTTCACACGCTGGGATTATGAGGATGATGTATGTTCGGGGCTGCATTGGAACATTGATTGATCGGATCATTGGTATCTAAGTTTTTCGTTTGCGCCATCTTGTGCTTTGCATTCAGAGGTCGGTTCTTGTTCTGGTCTGCATGTTACGGTTTGCAACACTCCACCTTCCTCCTCCTCCTTCACTTCGCCAATCTTATTCTTCTCCCAATAATAATAATAACAATGAATGGATGAACCAGAATCAATATCCGAATATCCCTCTTACTGCTGACTCAACAACAACAACAAGTCCACCATAGCTATGGCTTCCCTCCTTCAGCCTCCTCTCACATGCGTGGGCTATGGCGGACTACTGAGGGTCCTGCCCTCCTGTCCAAAGGACAACCCAAAGCAGCTATGGTGCTGCGCTCCTGTCCAAAGGACAACCCAAAGCAGCTATGCCGCTACTGGCCGGTCCGCCATGCCTGACTCTGCCTCGAGCTTCCTTGGTGCGGCACTACCCCAACTGGGGGCTTCCAGATGCAACGCCCAACAAGGTGATGAAGACGGTGTCCACCATAGCCAGGTAGGTGTCTCTCCACTCTCGTCCTTAGCCCCCTTCTTCCTCCTCCTCAAGCTGGGCTGCTCGCCATAGCCAGGCTGAGCGCCAGCTGCCCTTCACCTCCAAGCAGCGCTGTATCAGCCAGCGCTGT